ATCTGCGAAATGTCAGAAATTGAAACGATGCTGCATCACCTTTATGCATCAATAAAAGCCAAGCGATAAAAACGCGGACAAGGAGGGAGCCTCCGTAGAATGAAATCACCAGAACTAAAAAAGGACGATACAACTGCACTGGTTAAATAAGATGCAGGTGGCGAGTGTCAAAGGATGGATCGAAATGCCGCAGGAACTCCATTCCAAAGATAGTGTGTGGAATTTCAGCGATGAGGAAGTCCTAAATGGTGGCTTGGGGCATGTGGCGGTCTAACGTGAGCCGTACGCACACCTTTGTCACCTTTATGATCTAAAAAGCTACTCAGGACGGTTTTGGTTGAGCAGAAGAACTAATTAATGCGTCGAAGGTAGAAGGGTAGACAAAGTCTGATCTCCCCGTTGCCCCAGGTTGGGGACTAGACTCTAATTGGCGTTTCAGTTAGTAAAAAATGGAAGAGTAATTGATTCAATTATGTCACTCCACTACATCTTACACGGTGCCATTTGATTATGTTCGTGTCAGAATTAAGTGCTTCGGCTGGGAACTCCAATTGTTCTGTTTAGTGGTTTTACTTCCATTATGTCTCAAAACGAACCTTGACGTGATGTGATGTGAACACCTCTATACTCCAAAAGGCTATACAGAATGGCTCCTCAGTCGCAAATCCAAACAGACGTGAAATGTCAATGGGTAGAGGCCAGCGAACCTGTTTCACAAGGACAGCTGCTTGGACATCTCTCGGCTTCCTTTGATTATCCACTCTCGCTTCTGGAGAGGCCACTCCAGCCAATAAACACGGTGAGGGGCAGTTTACCGATAAAAAAACCCCACTAGATTGACTCATGAGCCGAGCACCTGTGGCTTCCTCTTCAGGGTGGGAGAAGTCCTCCCACTTCATTGGACAGCTACTACCCACCCAAGTTGGGCAGTCTCCAGCCAAAAAGGTGCTGTCCCGGCCACGTTCCACCTTTCTCATTGGGTACGCGAAGCTAAGGACCGATCCGGAAAAACAGACGATCAATCAACGCACTGGCGAACAACACACCGGACCGAAACCGAAAGGTCTCGAGAAGCTCCCAGAGAGATGTTTTAGTCACGCTCTCGCGCTGGATCTACGACCCACTGTCTTGTGGGTCAGACTTTTGAGTCGAAGGTTCTGGTCAGGGTTCTCAAAGAAAAAGCCCGTCGTTGATGTGGGCCACCGCAAAGTATTTTGTGCCCATCCACTCGGGAACCCCTCATTCTCACCTGTCCAGTTCTTCCTTTCAGTCCGATACCATAGGAGATTCTTCCTGTTTTCCCCACCCATGGGATATCACTCAGTATTAACCAGTGAAGCCAAGGGATCAAAGGCAACAGCATAGACTTCTAAAAGTCTCGGTTTCACGCGTCGAATAATGTCCCAAACAACCATACAAGACCCTATTTAAATCAACTCCGAGTTATCCTGGCCGAACCTCCTCCCCACGCCTCACCTTTAGTATATTAGGTGATTAGGTGTCCGAAGCTCGAGGTATCACTGGGGTTAAAATTGCGCTAAACGCCGAGGATGAAAGCTCGCTTTTTGACAGGATTCGTCTGTAGCGGACGGATCAGAACGGGTCAACAACTAAAAAACGAAGCGTCTATGCTTATTCGTCGTCGGTTATCTCAAAGATTTACAAGAAAGGCAACAGATATTGTGAAAACGGCGCACATTACCGGTGCGGACCCACCCCCAGGCGCATGACGTTACTCGTTTCAAACCCTTTGGTCATTTTTATGTTTGTTAAGTGTAATTGGTATGAAAAATGTGCGCCCAGTTTTAAATAATTCGTAATGCGGTTAGGGGGTTAGTATTCTGCCATTTTGTCTTAATTTTTG